TTCAGCACATTAACCCACAGCGCCACACCGGGACTTCAGGACAGTGTCATACATGTGTCAATTAAGGGATACTTGAATACGTTCCGAGATATCTGGCTTCTTTAAAGCACTATTAGGAAAATAAATAAATGAAGCACTATTAGAGGGCTTCATGATGGGAGCTACCTCCAAGAGGGTGTGTTTTAGAAACCTGCTGGTGCATTCTGATTGCCATAAGGACCAGAGGAATGCTATTGGCACTTAAGGGCCAAGACAGGAAGGCAAGGCTGTAAATGGATAACACGCAGTCATTCTGCCAAGTAAGTGGCCTTCATTCCACATACTTTCCAAAGCCCACTGAGAACCTTACATAGTGAAAAGACGTGTTGTGTTTATAACTTTTGTTTTTCCTTTTTAACATTTTATTGTGAATTGAGTGAAGGTTTACAAAACAGATCAGTTTTCCAGTCAGCAATTTATCAGCATTTTGTTTTATCTCATTGATTATAGTCTCACAATCACATAGCACTTATTCCATTTTTTCCGGATTCTATTTTTCCTTCTTTCCTTTTTTTTCAAGTTTTGATGGTGAATTGAGTGATCATTTACATGGGAGATGTTTATAATTTTTGAGCCTAGAACTTAAACATTCTTTTATATATAAACAAAGTACTTTAGTATGACCTGGATTTTCCAGTTCTGCAACTACTCTCTGAAGTGAAAGAGGACTGGACTTCAGTTCAGAACTTCATCAACAGATTGTTCCAGAATTGAAAACTCCAAGACTGTCACTATGCTCTGTTGCTCATGGTAACAGGACGGCCAGCACAACACACCGATGATATCTGTATTTGTTACATTACACGACTGTAAAGATAAAAGTTGAGTGGCATTTTAATGCATATTTTATAATCAGCTACTTTATATAGGTGATGGTTTGTGGGTGCATATGTTTTAATCGTGTGTGTAAACTTGATGCCATACTGCAGAAGTCATTCTGACTCAGGGTAGCCCATGTTTTACACCGTAGAATGGCTTTGTGGAGCTTTCATGACTATAAGCTTTTAAGATCACCAGGTCTTTCTTCTGCGGTACAGCTGGGTGAGTTTAAACCACCAACTTCTATGTTAGCAGCAAACGCAAGCCATTTGCGCCACCAGGGACCTCAAATTTTGTGTGTAAAACCAAAAGTAATGCCATCAAGTTGATTCTGACTCACAGGGACCTTATGTTGCTAAATACCATGCAGTTGGTTCCAACTCATAGCGACCCTGCACAGGGTTTCTGAGGCTGTAAATCTTTACGGAGCAAAAAGCCTCACCTTTCTCCCGCGGAGCAGCTGGTAGTTTCACACTGCTGACCTTGTGGTTCACAGCCCAATTTGTAACCACTACGCTTCCAGAGCTCCTTACAGGGACCTTATAGGAGACAGACAGTAAACCTGCCCCATAGCGTTCCCACATTTTTTCTCATGGAGTTGCTGATGGGTTCACACTGCTGACTATTTGATTAGCAGTCAAGTGCTTAGCACTGCATCACCAGGGCTCCTTAAATTGTGTGTTGTTGTTAAGTGCCGTGGAGCCACTTCTGACTCTTAGCAACCTTGTATAGTTTCTAAGGAGTGGCTTCTGGGTTTGAACTGTCGACCTTGCAATTAATAGTCTAGTGCTTATCCTACAGCACAACATGGGACTCCACCAAATTATGTGCAGAAGTAGGCTATATTACATATATGCATGTATGTTGTTGTTAAGCGCCACAGAGTTAGTTTCAACCCAGAGCGACCCTCTATAGGGTTTCCAAGGAGTGGCTAGTGGTTTTGAACTGCCGACCTTTCGGTTAGCACAGTCCAGTGCTTATCTTATAGCACCACAACAGGACTTACCATCCTGAAATGAAATTCATACCTAACTACCTACACACATAATTTAAATATGATCTATAAATATGTACATACACACAAACACATACACGGAGTCCTAATGCAAGGTCAGTGGCTCAAATCCACTAGCCGCTCCTCAGAAACCCTATATAGGGTCGCTCTGAGTCAGAATTAACTCGATGGCACTTAACAACAACAACATATATATGCACACATACACACATGGAGTCCTAATGCAATGTCAGTTTCAAACTCACCAGCTGTTCCTTGGAAACCCTATATAAGGTCACTCTGAGTCAGAACCAACTTGATGGCATTTAGTAACAAAGAAATATTATAAAGTATTTGCCATAAAAAGGGAATCATGGATCTACTCGTGTCAAGAACCATTTACTACATTACTGATTCTGAAAAGAGAACTAATTTTTCTTCACATATTTGAAATATGTATATTAAATATGAGGGGACTTCAAAAAGATCATGGAAAATTCTATTATCTTTTAATTCTTTTCCACCGTCTTTCTGAAACTCTCTTGTATATGTAGAAAATAATGACACTGTTGTTTTTGTTGCCAAGTGCTATCGAGTTGGTTCTGCCTCACAGTGACCCTGTATAGGGTTTCCAAGGTTTTAAATCTTTGCTGGAGAGGAAGGACTCCTGGTGTGGCACTGAGGGATCAGCACTGGACTTTGAACCACAAGGTTGGCAGTTCAAACCCACCGGTTGCTTTTTGGAAATGCTACACAGGGTTGCTATGAATTGGAACCAATTCGATGGCACCTAACGGCAGCAGCAGCAGAATGATGATAAGAATGTAATGTGTTGTGTGTTTTACAGAAATAGTTCTTAAACTGAACACACTGCATTCCATAAACACTCTTACCATTGGCCTAAGTATTTAAAGCACTTATTTTAGAACCTCATGGTTCAACCTAAGAGCAGGCCAGAGGTGAAAATAGAATGCGAGCTAGCTTTATGAAACTGCTGTAGCTGTTTAATATATTAATACGCTCAAATAATGGTAACAGCAGCACGGGAGCACTCATTTGTAGAACCCCAAAATGTGAATTCTTGGGTTCATCTGAATAAAATCACCTACTTCAAAGATAAAATAACCTTAACTACATTGTTTGTTAACCATCACTCATAGGAAAGAGAAAATACAACATCTGAATTTCAACCTAAGTGGGTAAAACTTCTCTAAATATACCTTTTAGTATTAGTTTCCTGTTTGTACTGTAAAAAAATCACCATAAACCTAGCGGCTTAATGGAACAAAAGGTCATATTCTCTTGCAGTTCTGAAGGTCACAATTCCTAAAGTCATGGTACAGGCAGGACTGTGTTCCTTCTCTAGGCTCCAGGGGAGAACTGGTTTCCTCATCTTCTCTAGCTTCTCGGGGTTGCCTACTTCTGGGTTCATAGCCCCAACACCCATCTTCAAAACCTCTTGCCTCCTTTTATGAGAACCCTTGTAATTCCACTGGCCAACCCAGATAATCCAGAATAATCTCTTCATTTCCAATCACATCTTCAAAGTCCCCTCCGTCACATGTTGTTAGATGCCACTGAGTCGGTTCTGACTCCTTGCAACCTATGCACAACAGAACGAAACCCGCCTGGTCCTGCAGTTTGATCCGCCCATTCCTGCTGCCACTGCGCCAATCATCTCACTGGGGGTGGGGGGAGGGTCTTCCTCTTTTCTGATGACCCTCCAATTGACTAAGCATGATGCCTTTCTCCTGGGACTGGTCACTTCTGATAACATGGCTGAATTATGAGGTGAAATTTCACCATCCTGCCTTTTTCTGCCATAGAAGGTAACATATTAATAGGTTCTGGGGACTAGGACATAAGCTCTTGGGGAGGGGGGGGCATTATTCAGCCTAGCAAACTTACCTTGCAATTGTCACGAGTGTAGGTTTGGGTAAGCTTTTCAGTAAGGAATAAACAGACTGAACAAGAGACTCAATTTCTTGCTCGGTGCTGATATGGTGAGGGAGTTCTGAATAATCACAGGTGAGGCCAGCCTGGTGAACCTGAAAAGCAGACGGCACAGTTACACCCACAGACTGCCGTTACTGAAAACATTTTCTAATATTATGACAGCCTTTGTTGACAAATCTTTTTGTGGATTGGGATTTTTGTTCCTTAACAATTTTAT